TCCACACTCACCTCTGGGCAGGGCATGTCACATGACTCCCCACCCTGTCCTCGCTGGAGAGGTTTCGAATATGGCCATGGGGAGAGGTGTCTGAAGAAGGAAAGGCAGCAAGCTTTCAAGTGACCCTGACATCAGCAAGGCTTTGTTGGGTCATCAGAATGACCTGCCCTCCAGCTCGCACCCAGGCCCCAGCAAGTGCACTAGGCTGGGCGTGGAGAGGTCATTGCCAGAGGCTCAGACCTGGAGCCTGACCTCAGTGACAGTGCTGTCTGGAAGAGGAGGAGGACCCTGGGACACAGGAATACAACACATCACATTGAAAGGCCACACGGTTCCTGGGAGTCAGTCCTGGAGAGATGGGGCTGGGAGGATGCACTGGGGGTCGCTCACAGAGTGGGGAGCAGTGAGCATCGCAGAGCGGGTGGTCCCCAGCCACAGCTGGAAGGAGGTTTGGGCGCAGAGCAGGTGACTGGTTCTCGACCGAGAGTGACGTTGTCTTCCTCCTGCCCCCGGATAAGGTCTGGAGACGTTTGTGTTTGTTACAACTTGGGGTGGGGGGAGGCTACAGCATCTGATGGACAGAGGCTAGGGATGCTGTGAGACGCCCCACGGTGCTCAAGGGAAAGTGATCTGGCCCCAAATGTTGCCACTGCCGAGGCCCAGAGAGGGGAGGCGACAGAGGGGCGGGCGACACTGAACAAGCCAAGGCCAAGGTCAAGGTGAGAAGCAGGAACTGTAAGGCGAAGTCTTCCCCTTTACTGGCAATCACAGAGCCGCTAGCTCAGACAGAGAAAACCACTATTTTTCATCTGGAACTTTGCAGAGGTTTGCGAATTGCTGCTAACCGTGGCCGGGCACATTCAGACAGGGCCTTACCTGGGTTTCCCCTGGAGTCTAACTTGACACTGTGTGTCAAGAAACCGAAAAAGGCTAACACTCTGGTCAATGGAATGACCTTGACATTCCATTTCCAGGATTTTATTTGCTGAAGGAAATAATTCAACACTGGAACAGTCCTACAGGCCAAGTCCTCACATTACTATCATTCAAAAAATTGAGAAACAAGTAGCAACTTTAAGGACCAGCGACGAAGACACAAACTCTGACGCACCCACAACGCACATCCCTGTGTAGTCAGTAAAAGCCACCTTTGTAAAGCGCCGCAAACAGCAGGAGCCGCAGGACATGGTGCTCAGCAGGAGAGACCCGGAGGGAGTTGGCACGTGCATCAGAGTCCGAGGCAGGCTCTCCGGGGGGCTCGTTCTGACACACGCCGTCTGTGACATCATCATCCCTTGAGTGGTGCCTGTCCTCGTGTCGTGAAATAGCCCCACTCCCTGCTGTGAGGCAGGGTCTAGTGGCAGACACTAGGAGACACAGCGCTCCGCAGGTGACCCAGCAGCAAGTCCCGTGAGAGTTCTTTCACTCTGGGCTTTCGTGTCTTTCGTCACCAGTGGCACTGCACCCCACTGGAGACTCCCGGGCCTCACGCCACTGGAAACCTTTGCCGGACTGGGAGAGTTTAAGACAGAGGGTCCACCATAGAACATCGATGCTTCGGGCAGGCGGATGTGGACGAGAACGGCACTCATCAGTATCTTCTCCAAAAGCAGTTTAAAAAGTCCGATGGTTTTGTTCCATCTGCTTGGATGTCTCAGGACGGGGGACGCTCGGGCTCCAGGCACAAAATGCCAAGTGGAAGTGGCAGCGTGTGAAGCCAGCGCCATTTCAGGCGTGCAGTGCGCAGCGAGCGGAGGGCCGTGTGGGTCAATGCCGTAGGTCCCACAGCCCGCCGCGGAGAATGAGGTTTCAGACCGGGAAGGGTTTCTGAGACAGCAGCTTGTGTCTGTGCCAAATGCCAGGGCTTGTTACACTGAACTGTGCGGCTCACCCTCCTAACATGCCCCCCAGACACGGTGCTGCCCCTCACGTCAGAGAGTACCCTTCAAACAGCCCCTTCGACAGTGACAGTGGAGACGGGCCCTGCTCAGGGCTGCGCCTGGGGAGTGTGCAACAGGGCCAGGCACACAGGACTGCTCTCGGCTCGGGCATCTGAGGCCGCATGGGCTTGGGCAGGTCATTTACACTGCAAGCCTCATTGTCTTACCTACAAAACAGGGATAACGGTGCCTCTCTACAGCGTAGCTTGAACGGTGCATGGTCGTGGGTACAGGGGGTGCAGGCTTTGACCTCTGGGAGTCCACATTAGGGCTGTTGACATGACAGGACGATGAAAATGGTGACAATGACAATGGCAATAACAAGGGTGAAAGTCTTCCTTACGAAGCGTGCAGAGGTTTGTGCGACGCCCACGACTCAGGTGCTGGAAGGGTGCTTAGTAACAACGGAGATCAGAGAGAACACACACGAAGAGAGAACAGGTGCCCTGTGTCCCTTAGCACCTCCATCCCGCAGTCACAGTCTATCTGAACCGTGCACAGTGTCCATAAGTGCCCCTTTCCCCAAATCTTAGTGCCCTTTCGGGGTGCGTGTCCCGGGAGACAGTGCATGGGACTCGCTGACCCAGCGACCAGCACTGAGACTGCCTCGCTGCCTTTGCAGACCCTCCCAGGCCGCCCCGCTGTGCGGCCGGACGTCAGCAGGCCGGCGAGACCGGATGCCACTCCGGTGGTGTTTGGAAATCCTCCAGGTGAAGAGCATCGGGCTGGGCAACGGAGGGAAGAAGCAGCCTTCTAACAGCACGGGCCGCCGTCCCTGGGGGAGCCGGCAAAATGCAGGACGAGACTGCAGCCCTCCAACAGGAAACCACAGCAGTTCTCGGGGTTCAGGGAGCGTCGCCACTGTGGGAAAGGCACTTGCATCTCAGCTGAGGTGCTTTGTCAAGACCGAAGGTCAGCGAGCTCCCCCGGAAGTGCCGGGCAGCTGGTGCCAGGGCAGGCGGCGGAAGTTAAAGCTTGTACAGCTCAGGCACAGGCTCCACGGCGTGGACGAGAAGTGCGCCCCGTTGCCTGGGAACAAGCGCGTGTCACTGCGAGTCGGCTTTGAAGGAGAGAGCACACAAGTGCGGGGTTAGGTGTGTGTGGGTGTGCATGTCTGTACACGCAGGGTGAGGTGAAAGCAGGTTTGCAGTTGTGAGTATGAGAAACATTCCATTCTCGTAGTATTATTAGTGTTTTATTTCCCATACAAACAACTGCAAACGTGCTTCAGCCCCACCCTGTACTTGAGGTCTGTGCCCAAACGGTGAGCCCAAGGTTCTGTGGTTTTGAACTTTAGGACTAAGGGACCCAGCGTCACATGGAACCTCACAAACCACACTGAGGGCAAATAGAACAGAAATGTCTTCAGGCTGGACGGGACCTTCGAGGGCGCCACCCCCACTCCCTCTCCGCTTACCCGGACGTGGACACAGCCTCGAGTGCCCGTGTGGCTCATCACCGATCACCGTGCCAGAACATAACTGGTCAGCAGTGCTATAAAAGGTGACCTGGCCTCCATGAACACCTGTCCCCCAATGGTCGAGCAAGGCCAAGGGCTCCAGGGCCTTTGAAGCACCGCCCTGGTGAACCCCCAGGAGAGAGTGCTCTTCCGCAGGGGGTGGGGTGGGGGTGCCCAGGGACATAGCATTAACTCTGATTCTGTGCCTACGACAGCCAGTCACACAGCCACAGGCGACAATCTCCACGCCAGAGCCAGAAACACGCCGGGGAGTTCTCCCTGTGCACGCCCCTCCTCAGGGATGGAGGTGTGAGACCGGCCCTAGTGATCTGAAAGCTGCTTTGGTGGAAGAGCCATAAATCGCATTATTATTTCACAGCCTGAGACCTGAAGACAAGGATGTGCTCCCACGGGGGCTCACCACAATGCAGGTCAGTGTTTCCAGAACCCTCATCGCCAAGGAAGAGGAAGTTGGTGGCTTCAGCGAGTTCTTAAGCTACTTGTGCGAGGCCTGTGCCAGCAACCCCGACGCTGCGGACGACTCTCGCCCTGGGATGCGTCTGCACATCTCAGACGCCCCCACGGTCTAATCCATCTGGAAGCCGTGTCCGATCGCCCTACCAACCTCTGAGCGTTCAGTGTACGTACCCTTGTTAGTTACATCCTTTCAAATACCTACACCCATTACGGCTCTAAAATGTCCCACAGTCATTTTTATTAATTAGTAAAGCTTTCATGGATAGAAATTGTACTGTAAAATCATCATGCATACGCTGACTTTTCAATTTGACTGTGGGCATCTTTAAACGTTTCCCCTGAGTGCAAAGTCGCTGATTCGTAGACCAGAGTCTCTCGCAGAAAGTAAAGCAGGAAATGGAAAGTTTGCCCAGAGGAAGGGGGAACTCTGGCCTCGCTGACCTCCCAGGGAGGGAAGGGGGTCCCACCAGCCTTGGGGGTCCCGCCCAGCCCAGGGAGGCCATGCAGACACAGCCACAGGTCCTGGCCAAGCTGCCCCGGAAAACAGTCTGAGGGAACAGAACTCTGCTCCTGCTGCTGGGCATGGAGAAGCCCCAGACTTGCTTCATTTTGAAAAAGTCCCATAATTACTACACACACGCACACTCTATCATGGAGCCAGCCTGTAAGTGCCAGCTGCCAGGTTGGACAGTGGAGAGGCCAGCACTCTGGGGACTTGGGACACGCAGACACTGCGACCAGAGAGACAAGACTTCTGGGACAGGTGGCAGCCTGGCCTTCCCGGCCTGAATCGGAACGACGCGGGCCTAAACTTCATTGGGGGCCGCTGTTTCCTACTCCTTACACAAGGTCTGGAAGCACCGTTGGAAACACAGCTTCCAGGGAAGTCTCACCACGCACGAAAGCGTCACCTAAGGAAACAGAGGCAGTGCCAACCTCCGCCCCACGCGGGCCACGGCCACCTGGGAGCACGGCCCACGAGGCAGCTCCACCAGGGCGGCTCCCCCCGAGTGCCGGCCGGAGGAGAAAGCCCCAGTGCACGCTGGCGGGGCATTTACACCCAGCACCTGGCTGGTGGGGAGGGCCGAGGGGCCGGCCCCGCGGGGGAAGGGCGCATCACTCACCCGCCCTGTAACTCCAGCCGGGAATGTGAATGGACAGCTGGTTGCCGTGAGCGCTGGCGTGACAGCACGTGGCCGTGGCTTCCTCCCCTCTCCTCAGGGCAATCTGCTGAGCTCCCACGGCTGCGAACTCTGCATCGTCCAACCGAGGGGAGCCACCCCAAGGACACGTGCCAGTCCCCAAATGCACCGGCCCCAGAGTCGGTGGCACCGCCGGGGTCCAGCGGGGGCCCAGGAGACCAGGGCCCCCCTTGGTGAGCTGCGGCTTCAGGGCACTGCTGATTGGCCCGGCGTTGGCTGTGCCGCCTGCCCCATCTGGTGTCAGTCCGTGGGAACTGCAGCGGAGGTCGAGGGACAGGACAGACCTGTGCATCTTGGGGCTGGCCAGTGGCGTCGGCTCCACGGGGACGGAGAGGGGCCTGTCCAGATAGTAGATGGCATTCGGACACTGCTGAGACACCCTGAGGTGGACACAGGAGCTGAACAGCAGTGGACTCTTTCCCGACCTTGGGGGGTCTGGAGGAAACCTGTTCTCTCTGTGGTCCACACTGGTGACCCAGTACTGGTGCCCGTCACACAGCTGCATGTGGGCCTCGGGGAACCTCAGCCTCATCACAGAGCTGTTTCTGGAGGATTCCGTGCAGGCGAAAGGCCCTCGGTGCCGGCCTGGATGGGCTCCGCTAGCCAGGACAGAAGGGTCCCTGAGCAGAGGGTCCTGGGCCCTGCACCTGGTGCACAGTGGGTCCCTCACAGCCCCCCACACCAAGCTGCTGGCTGGGGGGCCCACACGCCTGGCCGTGATGGTGATGGATGCAAACCCCTTTCGGGGGCTGCTGCCCGGCTCCTCCTCTTTGGGGGCCAGCTCAGCCTTGCGTCCTCGAGCCCCGGCTGCTGTCTGAATCCCTAGCTGGCCAGGGAGAAAGGCGAAGGCCCTGTCGATGGTGACCCCACTGCAACTGGCCAGAGCCCGCTTCACGGGCCACGTGGGAAGCTGAGGGTCCGCGCACAGCACAGGCAGGGCAGCCCTGTCTTCTTTGGACTTGCTCTCATCCATCAGCTGAGAAATGACCGTGGACGAAATCATTTTCGGGTTGGGTGATGCCAGAGGCCCCTGCAAATGGAAAAAGATCACAACTATTCAAGCAGTCCACGGAAAAGCAGGCGGGGAACCCTCAGCGGCCAATGGGACACGGCGGCCAGCACTCTCACCCAAGAGCTGTTACCCCACCCCCGACACCCCTGTGAGCATCCCTCCTGAAGGGCGAGGGGCCCAGATCTGTGCACGAGCTGACTGTGTGCTCTGGAGCCTGCCTCTGACTGGGGGAGAGGCTTCCGCGGCCAGTGTCCCTTCCCGGCTCATTTGCTGGTGTGGGTGTGACGGGGTCGTGAAATCTCTCTAGTTGCCCCCACCGGGCCCAGGGGCCCCAGACACAGACTTGGAGGAGGGCGTGGGCTCAGGGTGGGCCCAGGGAGAGGTGGGTCAGCTTTCCTCTGAAAGCAGATGTGAGTACAAGGAGCCCCCCAGCCTCCACCCCCAGCTCCCTTTGCTGGTTCGGACCAGAACCCAGTCCTTCCCAGGGCTGCCATCCTGGGGTCAAATCCCAGACTGTGAAACAATGTCCATCAAACACTCAAGAAGCTTGACAACTGCCCAGACGGGTGCAGGGGCCCTGAGAACGGACCAGGACGGGGTGGGGTGGGGACTGGGGGGTGGAGGCTGGGGGGTGGGCCAAGACAGGCACAGTTTGGCTGCCCTCCAGTCACTGTCCACGTGACAATCGGTGGCTTCTGCTTCCAAACCAGCAGACCGCAGGCTCCAACAGCCGACCACCAGTGTGTCCAAAACGGTGAGCCGTGGTTTTCAACACAGCGTGCTGAACCAGGCGGGAACAGGAGGAACAATCTCCCCTGTCCCTGCTGTCTCTGCCATGTGCATGGGTGACACGCCACAGGAAGCCGCTTGGAGACCGACAGACCCAGCGCTCGCGGATGCTCACAGGGACCTGAGCCCCCACTGGGACGTCCAGTGTTCTAGTGTGTAAAACAAGCCCTTGCGCGGAACCCCACGGGATCCAGAATGACACCGGCAGCCACCCAGCCCCCGCTGCCTGCAGTCCTCCCTTGGGAGCCGAGGGCACCCTGGGTGGTCCCACTGGGTGGCAGCTCTGCACCTCCAAAGTGCCGGGGAGTCACGGGGCAGGTCGAGGGGCGGGCTCCCCAGGGACCAGAGACCTGTGGGTGCGGCCCAGGCGGCTGCAGGTTAAGGGATACCCCGAGGCTCCAATGTGGGCGACCCTGGGAGCAGCACACTTTGAGAAACGCAAACCGAGCCACAGGGAACGGCTTGTGGTGACAGCAAACTGTCCTCTTCCCGAGACGCGACGAGAGCGCGCAGGGTCATTGCCCCCTTGTTCGGACCAACGTCACGTCCTCCACAGCTGGACTCCTGACGGGGGCGCCGCACGCGGGGAGCCTCTGGGCCCTGCAGGGTTCCACGCGGGGAGAGGGCAGGCCCGACTTCCTCGGGTTCCCTTCTCCCTCGCTCTTCTCCACCACCGCCCACGTGGCCGTATTTCAGAGACGAGGGAAATTGCAAATTCAAAGGATGATAGGTGATAGGAGAAGAAGTAGACGGGAAAGCCATCTTAAAATTTATTTCATTAAATAAAAGTATCCCATCCCTGGCTGGTGTAGCTCAGTGGATTGAGTGCAGGCCTGCAAACCAAACAACCGTGGTTCGATTCCCAGTCAGCGCACACGCCTGGGTTGCAGGCCAGGTCGCAGCAGGGGATGCACGAGAGGCGACCACACATTGATATTTCTCTCCCTCTCTCCTTCCCTTCCCCTCTAAAGATAGATAAAATCTTTTTAAAAATCCAAATACCATTGGTAGTTTTTTCCAGGTGGCCCTGCTTGATCTCTGGTGGCTCGCAGCCCAGGTGTCTCCCCTGGGAGTCCGGGGGCCCCAGGGACCGCCTCATCCCGGAACAGTGGCGTCAGAGCCCCCGGCAGTGGGGGGTTGCGGGTGGGGGGGCGCCAGGCCACAGCATTTTTGAAGGTCCCCGTGTGACTGCAGCAGGTAGGGGAGGCTGAGAAACCCTCCCCATGCTCCTGAGACTCCTCCTCTTCCCATCTCCGGAACAGCCCTTTCTGTGGCTGCTGTGACAGACGAGACACCTGCCGTCCACGTGGCGTCTGCGTGCAGGGCGCTGGGACTGGGGAGGCGACCCTGCCCCCACACCAGCCGCTTCGGTTCCCATAATCACTGTCCCCAGGCACCTACAACTTCACAACCAGCAGGGATGCCTCTGGCTCCGGCGGGTCTTTGAAGAGAAAAATAAATGCCCGTCTCAGCAACTGCAGCACCGTCTTTATTGTTCTAGAGCAATCCTTCCCAAAGTCTGGGCTGATGCCCCGCTGCATAAACACCACCCGGAGACCTGGTTTTAGCACACAGGGTCTGGATGCCTCCCTCCCTAGAGCTGGGGCCAATTGGGGTGAGCAAAGATGAGGCTCATCCGGCCTCAGGGGGTGCCCTGCCCGGGCAAGGTGGAAAGGCTACCAGGCAGCACTCGAGCCCCCTGAGGCCTGTCCTGATCCCGGGGCCCCCAGACAGGCCACTGGCCCCCAGAGGAGCCCCCCTGGGGAGGGAGCAGAGGAGGTCCCCGCCGCTGCAGAGGCAGGACAAGACACAGTCATGCTGCGGGCATTCCAGGAGTGACTCGGAGCCTGGACGAAACATCGAGAGGGTGCCAGGCCTCCAGGGTTGGGGTCCCAGGGGAGGTGTGGACGAGGGGCACCAGGAACAAGGGGTGCGCTTCTCAGAATGAGTGAATGTCACCTCAGCCTGGAGAAAGGACAGGAACGACCAACTCTGGTGACGTCAGCCTGGCTCCACGCCTAGAAGGAGACGGAGCCCACGGCTGTGGGGACTCCGGGGAGCCACCTGGGAGAGGGTGCGGGTGTCCCTGAGTCAGCCCTGCCTGGGCCTGGCCAGTGGGGCTGTGACTTCAGCCCCATCGCAGGCGGGCCGACCAGGGAAGCACAGCGATGGTGAGCGTGAGCTGCAGCCGGATTCTGAAGCTTCGGAGCTGCCGGGCAGGGAGGGCGACCTGTTCCGGGGCGAGTGCTGACGGAGCCGGTTCCAGAGAAAAAGCCCCTTGTCCTCCCTACGGCACAGGGGGTTGCGGAGCCCTAAACCGTCACAGGACCTCTGCAGGCGGGAGCGCGGGAGACAGCCCCAGGCTCTGGCCTGCCCTGCAAGTCAGCAGGCATCTCGGTGCATATCTGATCTTGTCGGATATGGGGGGGCACGCAGGAATGGGGGGCATCCGTGTCAACATCGCACCATGCCTCAGTGAACCTGTACTGAATGCACTTGACTTAAGTTGTTCAAATGGAAATAAGCCATCACACGCCCGATGCGTTGACATTTTGGTGATGTGAATCCAGACTGAATGCAATCTTTTTAGACACACATTCCGATCTTCATAACACGAGTCAGGGTCGAACGACTTCTTCATTCACTCACCAGACGAACACTCACTGAGCACCTACCACGAGCCAGGCTCTGTGCTGAGGAAGCTGCCTGGGCTCGTGACGTCAGCAGACTGGAGATGACGTCAGGCAGGGAATCAACTGACCAGGACGAGGGTCACGAGTGTGACTTCTCCTGTGATTTTTCAGCCATTTAGACACGGCTTTGACAAAAGCCCCAACCAACAAACTGAGAGAAGCTAGAAAGGAAAGCCCAGATGCTTTGATGTACATCACACTCCTGTTTGGGAAGATCTATTTACCAAAGTCTATTTGCTCACTGACACCCATTAAATAATTAAAGATAAAACCCGACGTCTTAAAAATCAGTATCGCTCTGCTCGGACAGCTGTGACAAGGGACACAGCCTGGGGCCGAAGCAATAGACATGGACTGCTCACAGCTCTGGAGGCTAGAAGTCCAAGATCAAGGTGTTGGCAGGGTCTGCTCCTTCTCAGCTGCCTTCTCTCGGCCAGTAGACAGCTGTCTGCCCTCCGTGTCCTCACAAGCTGTTCCTCTGTGCAGGTCTGTGTCCTACTCTCATCAGGATACTGGTCACCCTGGATCAGGACCATCCTAGTGACCTCCTTTAACCTTAATTAGCTCTTTATTTTTTAAAAAGATTTTACTTTTAGACAGAGGGGAAGCGAGGAGAAAGAGAGGGAGAGAAATGTCGGTGTGTGGTTGCCTCTTGTGTGCCCCCTACTGGGGATCTGACCCAGAGTGCAGGCAGGTGCCCTGAGTGGGAATCGAACTGGCGACCCTTTGGTTCACAGGCAGGCATTCGGTGCACACCAGCCAGGGCTTGGTGACCTTTTTAAAACCCCATCTCCAAATACAAACACGTTCTGCAGCACTGAGGGCTATGATTTTAAGGTAAGTTTGGGGGACACAGGCAACAGACTACAGCCCATCCCTTTGTGTCCAGGTCTCGTTTGGGGCCAGGAACCTGAGGACATGAGTCAGAGGGGCTGTTTGGTGCGCCCAGGTCAATTACTGCATCGAAAACGGCAAATTCTCCTTAAAAAGCTATCAACAGCCTTTACATCAAATACCTTCCCCAATTAAGCAATTTCAGTGCGTCACTCCATCTGCCCTTCATCCTGGGTTAATTGAACATGGCTTTGAAAAAGGAGATCTTTTATCTAAAACAAACAGATGTAAGAGTCCAAAGGAAGAAACCAGTCTTGCATTTGAAGTGGAATGCTCAAGGCCACAGAGGGGTCAAATGCACGGCCGCATCTGGTGTCTGGCTTGGCTGGTAAGCCGCCCTCCCCCCATTCCTGACCGGCACTGTGCACTCACACGGGCACATTTTCTTTCCCACAAAGGCTGCTTCAAGATGCTGAGTCCTTCTAGATGCTTCACATTTGCTTTTGTAGAGCTGGCAACATGTTCAGCGTCTCGTAGCTTTATTGACTGTTTCTAACTGCGTGCCCCTGCCTTCAGGCCCATTACTAAGGAGGGCACCGTTTCATAATTCAAGTGGGCGGCCGGAGTGGGCGGGTGCTGAACCGCCGGAGTGAGGGTGCTTCCGTTTCCGCAGCGATGCGTTTCTCTAAAGGAGAAGCATCT